ACCGCATTTCAGAAAAAGAACATCATACCAACAGTAAAATATGGTGGTGGTAGTGTGATGGTCTGGGGCTGTTTTGCTGCTTCAGGACCTGGAAGACTTGCTGTGATAAATGGAACCATGAATTCTGCTGTCTACCAAAAAATCCTGAAGGATAATGTGCGGCCATCTGTTTGTGACCTCAAGCTAAAGCGAACTTGGGTTCTGCAGCAGGACAATGATCCAAAGCACACCCACCTCTGAATGGCTGAAGAAAAACAAAATGAAGACTTTGGAGTGGCCTAGTCAAAGTCCTGACCTGAATCCTATTGAGATGCTGTGGCATGACCTTAAAAAGGCAGTTCATGCTCGAAAACCTTCCAATGTGGCTGAATTACAACAATTTTGCAAAGATTAGTGGACCAAAATTCCTGCACAGCGCTGTAACAGACTCATTGCAAGTTATTGCAAACGCTTGATTGCAGTTCTTGCTGCTAAGGTTGGCCCAACCAGTTATTAGGTTTAGAGGGCAAACACTTTTTCACATAGGGCCATGTGTGTTTGGATTTTGTTTTCACTTAATAATAAAAACCTTCCTTTAAAAACTGCATGTTGTGTTTACTTGTGTTATCTTTGACTAATATTTAAATTTGTTTGATGATCTGAAACATTAAAGTGTGACAAACGTGCAAAACAATGAAAAATCAGGATGGGGGCCAACACTTTTTCACACAACTGTATGTATGTATACATTGGGGTGGCAGTAAACATATATACATTGGGGTGGCAGTAAACAGCCAATGCATTCCAGGGACTCTGGCACTACCCCTTCATCAGGCCTTAGAATTTGCACAAACTTGAAGTGGAGTTTACTTTAATTATTAGAAGAGGTAGAAAAGATTACAGTTGTCTATAAACAATTAGATGAAGCACAACTCGTGGGTGAAATAAATGGAGTTGAATGTCATAATGTTTACGAATGTACTAACAGTAAAATGTTCACATCACACTCTCTCCTCTCCAAGTTTATGGCTGCGCGCTTAGCTCCGATTGTACTCTTTCGCTTTCCGTACATGTTGTGAGACTTACGTAGGCAATCGTTGGGCGGGGCTCAGCTGCACCCGGAAGCGTTTGAGAGTACCGGGCAGAAGAAGTGCTGGAAATTTGGGTAACAGACTGGCTTTCTTGGGGTTACAGGTATTCGTACACTGGTCCGCTTAGCGCGAGCCGTGATATTGGTGTACACAGGCAGTCTCCTCCTATGATGCGCGTACACGTGTAGTCTGCTCAGGGATGGTGAAGTCGCGCTGGGAGAACAGCCTGCTGCTTGTGCAGTCACCTGTGTGTGACTGACTGTGCACTCTTTATATGCCTGTCATATGGAGGGGGGAGGGAGCAGAGTGCCTAACATGTTAATATAGGCTCTCTTTCTACAATATTATTCCTGACATGCCAACTTTTATTCTGCTAACGTTTTGTGTGGTGTTCACTTGTTACAGTTAACTGGTGACTTAGATAGGAAAGGAGAAATCACAATGATTCAAGTGGTCTGACTACCCAAAACTGAGCATTTGGTTATGGGTAGATACATACAGGTCAGATCACAAACTAGATTAATATACAACTCGCACAGACTCTAGTGCAAGCTGTCATCAAAGAGTGTGCAATGTTGAGTGTGTAAGAATGATCTGTCTGACCTAAGACATCACTGCCATCATCTGATCTCAGATCGTCCATAGATATCCAACAGGGTTATTCACAAAAGGGTTAAGAGTTTGGAGAAGGCAGGAGAAGTGAGCAATCTAGGCCAAAATAGATGATTTGTAAAAATTCTCCAATTCAGCTCACTTTCCAGCTCAGGTATTTTGGTCTAGATTCACTTTGCCTTTGCCAAACTCTTTACCCTTTTGTGAATAACCCTGCAAGTATTTATTATATTGTGTATGTTCGCATTATCCAACTGTCCACGGACATCACTGCCATCATCTAATCTAAGATCGTCCATAGACATCCATGTATTTAATATGGTGTATGCTCGCATTATCCAACTGTCCACGGACATCACTGCCATCATCTAATCTAAGACCGTCCATAGACATCCAAGTATTTAATATTGTGTATGCTCGCATTATCCAACTGTCCACGGACATTACTGCCATCATCTAATCTAAGACCGTCCATAGACATCCAAGTATTTAATATTGTGTATGCTCGCATTATCCAACTGTCCACGGACATCACTGCCATCATCTAATCTAAGACCGTCCATAGACATCCAAGTATTTAATATGGTGTATGCTCGCATTATCCAACTGTCCACGGACATCGCTGACATCATCTAATCTAAGATTGTCTATAGACATCCAAGTATTTAATATTATGTATAATCCTCTGGTGCCCACTGGTGTCCTCACACACAAGTGTAATAATTTCATCCAATATCATCCATTGACTCTTGAGTACACATGCATGATCTGACTGCCCCCAGATACCACCAACCGTCATCCCTTCTAAGACTACCGTATACATCTGAGTAATGAATATTGAGTATGTATAGATGATCTGACTGTCCTCATGGACAAAAAATCATGTTCTCTAAGATTATCCATCGTCGTTAAACTGTTCAACATTTAGTATGCATGCATGATCTGTCTTTCTTTGGGCACCACCATTATCTAATCTAAGATTGTCCATAGACATCTAAATATTGGGCATGCATGAGACTTCTCTCCACGATCACACTCATCATCTCATCTGAGAGTGTCCAAACACTGCTGGGTATTGAATGGTCAATATATACAGGTGAAACTCGAATAATTAGAATATCGTGCAAAAGTAATTGCAGTAAGTGCTGCAAAAGGGGCCCAAACCAAGTACTGAGTACATATGCATGCTTGTACTTTTCAGAGGTCCGATATTGTTCTATGTACAATCCTCGTTTTATTGATTGCATGTAATAATCTACTTTTTTGAGGTTGTGGATTTGGGGTTCTTGGGGTTTTCATGAGCTGTAAGCCATAATCATCACAATTATGACAAATCACGGCTTGAACTAGCTTGCTTTGCATGTAATGAGTCTATCTCATATATTAGTTTCACCTTTTTAAGTTGCATTAGCGAAATAAATGAACTTTGCACGATATTCTAATTATTTGAGTTTCACCTGTATGCATGAGTTGACTCTTCTCAGACATCTAATGGTCTCACAAACATGACTGCTTTGCTCAGCTGAGCGTTCTGTTTGTTTCCATGCAGGGCATGAGTTGATGAGTGGTGCTGGCAGGTGCCGTTAATACTAGGGATGTTCAGATACCAAGTACCGTACTCGGTACAAGTACAGATACTTTTCCAGCTCCAAGACTAGACTAGAGAAAAATGTAAAAGTTAGGAGGCAGCTGTCATTTTAAGGAGCATACGGGGCTCCTGGGATTTGTACATCTCTGTTTTATTGGATGATACTGATACTTGTCCAAGTACTCACAGATCCAAGTACTGATACATTTTCAGTTATTGTCATGTGACAGTTTTTCTAAAACAATACAGACTAATGATTTCAGGACAGTGGTGGGGTGCCAGAGCCAGGTCCCAGCTGCAACCTCTGCAACCCTGGTAGTTCTCGTGCAAATGCCAAGTATCGGCACTGGTATCTATACATCCCTAGTTAATACCATTTACCAAATGAAAAGGCATTGGATCAATAAGCAACTATGATTTCATGTTTAAGGGTAGCTTACTGCAGTAGCAGGGTGGTGTACAATAAAACATCCAGCAGGAGGGAAATTGACCTAGGCTTTCAAGTGCAAAGGACCCCAAAAATATATTAAAGGAGAACTATGGGGTCAGGGCATTTCCCCATAGTTCTCCTTAGGGTAACGGGAAGACACAAACCAGCATCCTCCCGTCACCCAAAGCTCAGTATACCGCGAGCTACAGCTCGCGGCATACTGAGACACCGCAGGCGGAAAGGATCCCGACAATTATGTCTGATCCGCCCAGCTGCGTGAGTGACAGCTGGCTCAGCCTATCTAGAGGCAGAGCCCGCTGTACCCGCCCCTCCCCCGTCCGTTCCGCCAGTCAGCGCTGGAGGATCGGACAGGGGAGGGGAGAATCCAGTCCCTCCATTGTTACGGCTCTCTACCGGCACAGGATCAAGAAGTGAGCGAGCGCCAGTATGTGTTCACTCACTTCCCGATCTACTGAGCCAACCTGTGACAGTTTCATTGTCACAGGTCGGCTCAGATTATGAGGCTGAGTGAAAATCATTAACCTCATAATTCTCCTTTCAGCCAGTGGGTGGTTCCGTTCCCCAGCATCAGTGGAGAAATTCTGGTTTTGTGCAGATTAGTCAGGTGGTGATAATGTTATGGCTGATCGGTTTATATGCAAACAATTCTCCCTATGGAGCACACGTGTTCCCACTATTGCAGTGACAGTTGATGAATTGGTACCAGCGATCAGAATAACATCAGTGAGTATTCATTATACACAGCATTTACCTAGTGACACATTAATATGCAAAGATACTTGAACAATACAGTAGTGGTGCATAATATCGGTGTGGGTGAACAATTGTAAAGGACAGAACTCTGCCTGTAACTCTAAGTAAGTTATTATGCCTTTTCTGGCGATATGATATACCCTGGTAAGTTTATTTCCTGTAAATATTTACATATACTCTTTCTATCATAGTTCTTCACAGATTTTTGAATGACACCTCCTGGTCTATATGTGGGATACAGATGGCTGGAAGAATGACAGATGACAATGATGTCCTACGAAAAGTATGGTATGGGCGAATACCGACATGCTTCACATTATATCAGGATGAGCTGAATGAAAGGGAAGCCGAACCCTATTATGTAAGTGCTACCACGATCATGGCTTGACATTGCTCGGCAACCATGATGTTCTATAACTTTGATGTTATTTGAAATCTTTTTCAAATATAAACCTCATTTTATATTTTTAGTTCTAATTGTTAGCTGTCTACAAATAGTTTCTGTTCTAGTTTGATTTATAGAATGTCACTGTTGTTTACTTTGAGGCTTGTCAACCAGTACTGAACCAGTACCACTATCTGGTAGTGTCATTTATTTCACCACCATACCCCCTGTGGTAATCAAACTAAATCATTTGTATAATTCAGATGATGGCTTGAGTTCTTTTTTTTATTTTTTATTCAAAATATATATAGAGACTACTGCTTCCACACGAAAAGCAAGGGTCCTTCTTTACAGCATGCTGGCAGTGGACAGGCTTTTCTACTCAGGCTGTGGCTGTTTTCTAAAGAAAATGCACTGTACACCTTTGCATACCTTTTTGTTTTGATGTACCAGGAATATGTTTAGCTGATTTAAACTGAAAATGTAATTGAGCTTTAAGTTATCGATTGTATTTTCCCACATTTACTGGTATTATGTTACCTGTGTCTGTCTTGTGTAGAAGAGCACAAATCACCAGCCTGCCAGGATACTGCTTTGGCTGTATGGGAAATTAGGACAGGCAGATCACATAATTAAAGTGACACTAAACTCAGGAGTTAAGTCTTAAAAATACATTAATATACCGTATTAACAAAATGTATCTTATTTGTGTTTCAGCTGTAGATCCTCAAATCATCTCTTCATTGGTGCTGACTAGAGGTGCACCAAAATGAAAATTTCGAAAACGAAATTAAAAAAATGTTAGGCCGAAACCAAAAATGTTTTTTATTTTAACTTTTTTAAATATTTTATTTTCATTTACTTTTTATAAACTTTTTAATTTTTTAATATTTATTTTTCTTGATTAATTTTTTATTAAATATTTTTATTTTTTACTTTACTTTTAGGGACTTCGGGGGAAATATTAGGGGTCTAAGTAGACCCCTGATATTTCCCTTTTTAAAATGGAAAAAGAGATTGAGGACACAAAGTCCTCAATCTCTTTTTCTGCAGCCCCTGTTATAAATGAACAGGAATCCTCTATACTGAGTGTTCCTGTTCATTCATAACATGTGGATATAGAATGTTTACTATAACCACAATCATAAATGAACAGGAAGTGATGTAGATCACTTCCCATTCATTCATAATTGAGGATACATTAAACATACTGTGTCCTCAATTATTTACAAACACTCAGCGATCACTGATCACTGAATGTTCGTACTCGCTCTCCTTCCTGACAGCTATCACAGGAGGCTAAGCGAGTGGAGCAGCGCCCAGCGGGGAGGTGAGAAAGAATGGACGCACCGCTGTATCGGCCAGAAAATGGGAAAGCGCTATTTTTGGCCGATATATTGGTGCATGCCTAGTGCTGACACTGTCCTTCCTTCTGGAGGGTGGCTACTTTTGTTCCCCATGGTTCCAGTGTGTGTTGTAAAGTAGTCACTGCTCCAAGCTCACTCCTGTGATGGATCTCAACAAAAATTAGTAAATGATACGTGAGATTGTAGTCCAACATGGGAGTGAGCTTGGAGCGGTGGCTAATTTACAACACACACAAGGACCATGGGGAACAAAAGTAGCCCCCTCCAGAAGGAAGGACAGTGTCAGCACCAATTCAGAGGTTTGAGGAACTACAGCTGAGTGATACACAAATAAGATAGTTACCTAGTTAGTCAGGTTGAAAAAAGACACAAATCCATCAAGTTCCACCTATAGAGATATGTAAGAAGAAAACCTAAAACAGAGTGTTATGCCCACAATTACCCACTATTGATCCAGAGGAAGGCAAAAAAAACCCCCTATAAAGCATGGTTCAATTTGCTCCAACAGGGGAAAAAAATTCCTTCCTGATCCCATAAGGCATTCGGATATTCCCTGGATCAACAATCTCTGGTGCTTAATATACCTATAAGAACTCAATATCCATATATTTGTAGTAAAAACTAAATATATTTTTAAAATCCAATAGTGAGTGAACCTACTGTCAACAACTGCAGTGTTTTGCAGGCCTTGGGACTCCTTTACAAAGATCTTTTCACCAGAATGCTTGAGTATCTATTATGGGAGCTAAAGAAGAACTCTGGGGAAACATTTTATTAACCCTTGCAGTTTGGCTACCCCTACACTACAAGGTTTAACTGCTCCTTTTTGTCTAGGTGCTAAAAAAAAAAAAAGTTATACTTATTTATTGGAGCTGGCTTGTTCTTAGACCAGTCCCTAGAGCCTCTCTCCCCCCTCCGTTGCAGAAGTCTAAAAATCCTTGTGTCATCACGTTCTATAGAAGTGTATAGATATGAGGACACTGAGGAACATTCCATCTGTGCAATGGAGGAGGAGACACGCTTCAGTGATCGGAGAAGTAGGGAATCAGCTTGGCAGTTCGGGCGAGTATGAGGTTTTTTTTTTGGCACCTAGACAAAAATATGCGGTTAACCCTTGCAGTGCAGGGGCAGCCCTACTGTAAGGGTTAATAAATGTTTTCTTCTTTAAAGTGAACATAACCTGGCTTAAAATGTTTCTAAAGTAACAGCAATGCTAAAGCTCCGACGCTTGTTGGTGCCTGCAAGTTCCTGTGTTCGTCTTCAAATCGGATTGTGTCCCCTTGGATCCCAGGATAACAGAAAAGTTCTTGTCGTACTCCTTACCGGAAATCCTGTATAATGGGAAGGGTGCTTGTAATGACTGCGGATGGCACCGCTGTATACATAGGATAATTGTGAATTATGTCACCAGCACGCCGAAGATCCTTTTAGAATCACCAAATGCTCATTTTATTGAACAATTTGTCGGAATGGAAACAAGCGTTTTCGGGACCTCGCAGGGTCCCTTCATCAGTCAATGCTGAAGCCTGATGAAGGGACACTTGTCAGATCCTGAAAGCGCTTGTTTCCATTCTGACAACCTATTCAATAAAATGAGCATTTGGTGATTCTAAAACAGCGGTTCTCAACCTGTGGGTCGCGACCCAAAAATGGTCGCAACTCACTGTTGAGGGGTTTGCAGCATCCACTTCTTCTGCGCTAGGTGAGAAGCTCCTCAGCCTCCTCCTAGCGCAGCAGTGTCAGTCAGCGGGAGGACAGCAGAGGCTGTAAATATAAAAGTGCGCTTCCATTTTTAGTCCCAAGTCCAGCGCCTTACTAATTCTGGAGTCCAGCGCTCCGTTGGAAGTCACCACAACTTGGCAAATGTTACCAAGGGGTCCCGGCCCTAGAAGGGTTTAGAACCACTGTTCTAAAAGGATCTTCAGTGTGCTGGTGATATCATTCACAATTACACTTGGATCCCAGACCCAAATTAAAACTCCTTTAGGACCTGGTTTTAGGCCAGGTCAGGTTCAATCTAGATCTCCAGATTCTATAAAGGACAGGATTATTATTAGTTTTGGGCGGTTTGCCCTTTTAAAAGTCATTGAAATAAAATCATCTGCTTGAAAATAAAAAGCGCTTGGATATTCTTAAACATGAATACACTTAAACATGGCACTTTGGTTAAGAGCAGTTCAGTTCTTTCATGTTTAGTGACCAAAAAAACGTTATGTGGACATGTGTGGAACGTTATATTTGTGTCCCTTTGGCTATTTTTTTCAATCTGTTTACAAGAAAGCAGAGTGAGTTCTGAGAATAATTGATGGGCTGACCAGTGAGTAATTTCTGGCACTGTTTTCAGTAAATTACATCTGTTCATCTCCAGTAAGCCGTTGAGTACTGACATATAGCTGCTTGCGTTATTCAGCTTCCTTGCTGGGTCAAATTAACATTTCTCTGTCGTGCGTAATGTAGACGTGACTGTCAACTCATAATCAAAGTGCTCAGCCTTTGTAGTCATTTTCAGTTCAGCAAGTTTATGGCAGGAGTTTTCCATGTTTACTCTATAGGACCTACTGTCCTATAGTCTCCTCTTAGCCAGAATTGGGCATGTATAATGCATCATTTTATGAAATTGTGAGAAGAATAGCTTTCATTGTACAGACCTTTGATGTAGCTTAACATTACTGAAACATGTCTGTCTGTATGACTGGTTGGTTTGTGTGGATGGAGGGTGAGTCGCTACTGTTTAAAACATGTTCCACTTTTTGTGGAAAAGTGAATAAATACTAGACATGTGCGATTCGTTTAGTTCCGAATCGAAATTCGGACGAACTTTTGGAAATTCGGACATTCGGATGTATCCCAATTCCGAATTGCAGACATAACGAATGCAAACGAATCCGAATTTCCATTTCCGAAATTCGGGAGCGGTAGTTCGAACGTTCGTTTCGTATTCTGTTCTTATTCGTTTCTTATTCGTTTCGTTCGTTGGAGCAAAGTGACATTAGAGAAGGAGAAAAATATTTTTTCCCCCTCAAATGTCACTTTGCTGCAAAAGAACGAACGTTCGAACTACCGCTACCAAATTTCGTCCGATTCCGAATTGACTTTCACACCCGAATCCCGAAAAACGAAATAACACAAATCCGAATTTAAAACGAAACAAAACTAAACACATTTTTTGGCAGTGCACATGTCTAATAAATACACATATTGCAAAAAGAAAATACTTTGTGCATGCATTGATTTTTTTGCATCGGAGCCTGCAAAGCATTACTACTAGAGGTACAGAGTTTTGGTTATAGAGCTGGAGGAAGTTATCAATGGACTACAAGTGCGGTGACATTACCACACTTGTACTTCATTGAGAAATACGTGTTCCGCAGACGGAACTTTTTCCTTTTTTGTTTTATTCACAGATCCTGTAAACGGCTGCGCAATAGGAACAAGGAAAAAAGATAAGTCACCAGCACTCAATCATTCAGGATGCAAACATAATCTTGTTTTAGTGTAAACACGTGACATAAGTCATGATGCGGCACAATTGAGTGCTGGAGTCTTATTTTTTTCCCTTGGACTGTGATGTCACTACTAGCACCCTACTTTGGTCACGGCGCTGTATGCAGCTGACATCTACATTGATCTGTGCAGTAGGAACCACACACAGCCACGCCCAATTCAAATATATTCAGGAACCTTTGGGAAGAAGCACCCGGCGGTTTAGGAAAGTGGTGAGGGATGGAGGGTGCAGAATGGCATCAAGTTCCTTGTTACACCCTAAATAAGATGGAACATGGAAAGAAAAGTGGAATTTGACTTTAAAGGCATGGTCCACCTTTTACAAAATGTGCATTTATTTATTTATTTATTTTGCATTGTAGCCTGTAAAGCATTGCAACCGTAATCAGTGCAGGTGCAATGCTCAGGCTCCTGTAGACTATTCCTCCCAGCCCCTGTCTGTACCAAGGTACCTTTTAGTTACAGGGACAGGAGGAAGTGTCAGTAGACTACAAGTTTCTGTTCTGTGGTGGCAGACAGGCAAGCAACGCTTGCTATCTTCACTCTGGCCTGAAAATTCTCTGCAGACTTATATGTCCCTTTTCACATGGTCTGATCAGGAGAGGATCCGTGCACCCTCCCCATCCGTTCCGCCAGTCAGCGCTGAAGGATCGGACAGGGGAGGGGAGAATCCAGTCACTCCCCTGTCACGGCTCTCTGCAGTGACAGGATCGAGAAGTGAGCGAGCGCCGGTATGTGTTCGCTCACTTCCCGATCTACTGAGCCGACCTGTGACAGTTTCATTGTCACAGGTCGGCTCAGATTATGAGGCTGAGTGAAAAGCACTTAGCTCATAATTCTCCTTTAACTGCCACCACTGTCCATCACACTGAGAAGTTGACTTTTATCTCCATGTAAGTATGGTTTAGTAATTGTAATAATTTAGGGCTGCAACAACTAATCGACATAATCGATTATAATCGATTATTGTAAATGTATTTTATTGTTTATCCGATTAACCGATTAATCGAACTTAATAATCGGCTAACTAATCGATTTTGAAAATAATCGTTAGCTGCAGCTCTATAATAATTACTTTATTATTTAGAGAAACAGTATATCCACTCTGGAAAATCATTATCAGATGCTGAGTGCTCTGCACCATAACTTATCCTATTACAATTTGGGAGATCAGTCATAAATAAGACTATAGTGTCAGAAAGTAAAGGAATTGAATATGCGCTGCGCAAACTGTTGGAGCTATATAAATACTATGTAATAATAATAATAAGGAATATACATTATTATACATACTAATTAACACTAAAAGCATGTTATAAGAACACCCACTACGCATCAGATGCTTACTTACTTCCTTGGAAAGTTAAATAGTTTGTAGTAATTATAATTGCGATATAAATATTGCTTATTCAATATAAATATTGGTTTTGGAGAGATAAAGGTTACATGTCTCGGTTGTGGAAATGTTCAGAGCTGATAGCGGCTATGTGGTTGGTTCCTGATTTGGTCTAAGGCCCCATTCACACTGAGCGGCATGAAAATCGCGCGATTTTCCGTGCGATTTTATATGAGTGATATTGAGCGACGTCGCGCAACTTTTTCCTATTGGGCTGTATGCAATCAGGAGCGAAATCGCTCGAAAAAAGGGTCATGTAGGAGCGACGAGCTACAAGCGATATTGAGCGACGAGATGTGAACAGCTCCATTGAAATGGGTTGGAGAAGCTGCATAGAGCGATATCGTGTGGAAATATGAGCGCTATCGCTCCTACATAACCCTTTTTTCGAGCGATTTTGCTCCTAATTGCATACAGCCCAATAGGAAAAAGTCACGCGACGTCGCTCAATATCACTCATATCAAATCGCATGGAAAATCGCGCAATTTTCATGTCGCTCAGTGTGAATGGGGCTTTAGAGGTCACTGACGGCCAGGATTGAGAGCCAGCAGCTGAGCAAAATGTTGTCTGCTGGCTCACAAAGGGGAAAATGTTTATTAACCCCTTCATGACTGAGGCTTTCCCCCCCCCATTTTTTGCACCCATGTTATATTCCACATTTTATGCCTGAAAATTACTTAAAATCCCCAAACATTATATATTTTCTGAAAGCCAAGACCCGATAGAATAAAAGGGTGGCAGTTGCAAATTTTTATGTTGCACGATATTGGCGCAACTCCTTATCAAATAACAACATTTAGTGAAAAATGCACTTAAATTCCCCAAAACACTATAAAATTACCCATGTTTTAAATAAAATATAAAAGATGAGGTCACAATAAGTAAATGGCCAACATTCCAGGTTAAAAATTGTGTGCGTCCGTGAAACGGCAACAAAATTCAGAACCCCAAAAAGTCCATAGATGACACTTTAAAAGCCCCCGCAGGTCATCAGTTTAGAGATACCCAAAAATACTGGCCGTAGAATTGTTGCTCTCACTCCGGCAATGCCCAACATGTGTAGCGGGTTCGTCGTTTTCATACGTAGGTGCACCCGATGTGTGTTTATGTGGAGACGCGCGTACCCGCAGGGGCGGGGGACTTTAAAACGTTTTTTTTTTTCATTATTTTTACATTTCTTTTATTTAGACGCCCAGCACTGATAGCTATGGGGCCGGAAGTGATGCAATCTGTATCCCTCCAGGTCCCATAGAACGGGGAGGGGATCTCCTCCCCAGCTTTCTGCCGACACCAAAGAATCCGGTCCCGGGCCCGTAGGAGGGGCAATGGAGCCCGGGAAACATGGCGGTTATGTCGGGCACGCACGTGCGTGTGTTCACCTGCCCGTAGACGCGATCTGGTGGCAGAGGAGCCGCCAGAATCGCTTCCACTGTAAAGCCAACAAGTTTAAACAGAGTCCCGGTGGCAAAAGCCGTCGGGAGTCTGTTTAAACAGTCCCGATGCCAGTGACGTACACTGTACGTCACTGGTCGTGAAGGGGTTAATGTATCCTTGCTATCGGACTGGGAGACAGATTGTGGATGGGAACGAGTTACAGTAATTATTTTGCTATATAAGCTATTTGTTTTACTGACACTTTTTCATAGTACAGATTACAATTGTTTTGCAGTTACTTTTGCCACGTGTGAGCTACCTTACTCTGGTAACCGATAAGGTGAAGAAACATTTTCAGAAAGTTATGCGGACAGAAGATATAAGCGAAATCTGGTTTGAATATGAAGGCATTCCTCTGAAATGGTAGGTGGTCTGAATATATGTTCACAGATTGCAGTGTATTTGGAATCCGTTCGCCCTCGTTCACACCTGAACGTTTTGTAGCGCGTTCTGCGCTCGACGAACGCTCTACAAAACGCTCAAAAATATAAATCCCATTGTATTCAATGGTCTCGTTCCCACATTGGCGTATTTCCGCCCGTCCCTAACGCGCTACAAAACGGCCCACGCCTGAAAAGGTACAGGTACTACTTTGGGCCGTTTTGTTTGCGCGTTTCCATTGGGATACAGCCAAGTAGCCTTCGGAAACGCGCGACAGTTGCGCGACTTTTTTACCGCGAATCGCGGTAAAAAACGCGCGACGTTCGCGCATATGCAATTTGCCTGGGTGTGAACGAGACCTTATTGTGAAAATAGCACTTCTGGAATGGCCATGATAGGTGGCACTTCTGGAATAAGCTCATGCATGTACATTCAACAGGCCTTGCAGCTATGCTAATAAAATCTGCTTTTATAGATATAATAGAAAAGGATAAATGCGGGTACAGACAAATGCTTTTGGTATCAATTAAGGGCTCGGTATTGTAAGACTAAGTTCACAAAGGTGTGGATGCAGAAAAGAGTTGGATACTGTGGCAGGATTGCATGCAGCATTCGGGTCAGCCCTACAAATGCCGGACACACACAGAAGTGTTTAGAGAGCCAGTTGGCCGAGAAAATACTTTCAGACTCAGTGGATGGACGGTGCTTGGAAATTGTCGATACATTTTTCTATGTTACGTTATACAAAGATTTGTTTGGTCTTTCAATTTGCAACATGTTTGGAAACATGAGAGCCCCTTCTTTATATTAGAAGCAATTATATACATGTATTCATTGAAGTAACATCTGATATTGAAGAGACCACAATCAATTACATTAGCTCTTTTATTTTAGAATATCAGTGTATCTGTAGACCTTTTCTTGAAACGGACATTGAACATGTCAAATCCACAACTGGTTATGGCAGACTTTGTTGTAACTGAGCAACAAACTTGTACATGTAGTATAAAAGATAAACATACTTTATAAGCTGATCTGGGGATTATAAGATTCAGTGGAATACTTTTTGTCATTTAAGGATTTAACTTGGATAATTGGGAGTGGAGCATCACAAAGCATGGACCTTTTCCAAAAAAGCACTGTATGGTGGGTGGGGTGTCAGCTGTAAAAATAAACTTTTCAGAGTCTGATCAGTCAGTTACAAACTATAAAAAGGTCCTAAATAAAGATTCATTGCTATATTCAAATTTAAGGGGTATAATATACATAGGTTGGTAAACAGTGCTGTTTATGGTGATTCTCTTTTCAGGTTCAGAGAATTCTCACAGAGCTGTTATCTATCAAAGCCTAGACTACTATTGCCCAACTGCTGCAAGCAATGTAATTTTTGGAGTTGATACCTCAGAACTAGCTCCATTTCTGGGAGTCAGGTAGTGACAGCTTCCAGCACTGAATCAGTAGAAAAAATAGAGACAATTTAGAAATCCTGGAAATCTCATATTTCCTGGTGAATTGCAAGTTCTTGATTTTCCTGAAAATGTGTGAGGCGATGCTCCATAAGTTAGGGAAATTGGCATCCATGCCTTCAGAGGAATTAAAACTCTCTGATTCACCAGAAACATTTACCGAACTTGTCTGTTTCATAAACAGATTTGTTTATCTCTAATTGTAAAGCTGTGTAACAGAAAATAGGTTGTTATTTCTGTACAGTGCAGTCTGTCTGTTTGCCTCGTCTCCATAGGATATGAAAGAGATAAACAGTGATTTTATAGCGGGCTGTAATTTGTCACTAGGAAACAAATCCCAGTTTACACTGCATAATTTTGCACACAAGGGAAATGATGTTAACAGTTTTATATTTAAAGGAGAACTATGAGGTGAGTGCTTTTCACTCACCTCATAGTTCTAGCCGACCTTTCGGGATCCGCTTCAGCTGCGGCGTCTCAGTATACTGCGAGCTACAGCTCGCCTAGGGTGACTGAGGGTGAGCTACTGAGCCTAGGGTGACGGGAGGACGCTAGTTTGTGTCCTCCTGTTACCCTAAGGAGAAGTATGGGGAAAAGCCTTAACCCCATAGTTCTCCTTTTAATGTTGTTGAACAGAAGTCATCTGGAACAGTTTTAGCCACTTTGTGTTTATCATGCTAGGTGCTTCGTAAGAAGTATGCCAGAAGTATTGAAGTCATTTTCTGTACAGAAATTCAGATTTTAATGTGTGAGAAAAAATTATTACAGGTATTTACCTAGCGCTGACAATTTACACAGCGCTTTAAATACTGCACATTCACATCAGTCCCTGCCCTCAAGCAGCTTACAGTCTAATGACCCTATCTCACATGTATACATTATTATTATAGGTATTTATATAGCGCCAACAATTTACGCAGCACTTTACATAGTTGCACAATCACATCATAGAAACCTTGCCGATTTAGACAGGAGCCAATTAACCTACCAGCATGTCTGGAGTAAAAATGAAAAAAAGCTTTAGTCCTGAATTGGTTAAGAAGGACAACTGTTTCCTAAGGCATTGCATGATCGAATTATAATTCCTGTGTCATATGCTGAAAAGTTTTCACAGTATACAGTGCTGATTGGGGTATCTACTACACAAAATACAATGCATTAGGTTGTAGTATAAACAAATGTATTTTCTAAAAACCTGCATATAAAATAAACTATTCATTAATCTCATTGATTTTCAATACAGAGATTATTCTGGTGGCATTGTATACAGGCCACACTAGTGGCCTGTATACAATGCTGGGAACATTTCTGATTCCATCTTGTGGCGTACAAAGGACAATTATAAGCCCCAATTTGGAATAACTAACATGCAGTACAGCAATAAAGACTGTAGCTCATTGGGAAAATAAAGATCACCTATTCCTGATATTTAGGGGAAGATACTGTGTACAGCCAGTCATTTATACCAAGTCATTGATGGATCTGGAAACCGATAAGGTCAGTGTGTACTTTTATGTTTAAAGTAAACCTTTAAAAAAAAAACCCTCAATATCAGTATTATACAGGATTTATATAGCGCCAACAGTTTGCGCAGCGCTTTAAAATATAAGGAAGACATTACAATCACAATACAATTCAAAACAAGATGGTAAAGGAGGGCCCTGCCCGTGAGGGCTTACAATCTAAAAGGGAGGGGGAAGTGATACATGAGTAGGTAGCTAAATCTATCTAAGCCAGAGGATCAGTATGATAGCCATGTAGCTGGCATTTTCAGAAGGGGAAGTCAGCAAAGTTAGTCACGGTACTGTCCTATGCCCCCTTATGGTTTTTATGTACGTAGTGGTACATCAGCATATGGATATAAATCTTCCCCACTAGGTGTCACCCATAGTATTAGATATTAGTCTGTGTAATTGAAATTAAGGTTGACGCCATGCTATGAGAAATGTATTAATAAAAGTACATAATATAAAATCCAATGAATAGTATATGTTTATACGTATCAACTTTGGCAATAGATGATTCATTTGGCTCTAAAATACATGTTAGATGAGTTTAGCTACAGGAAAACCGTTTAAAATGTGATTGCCCCATAAACTTCTCAAGTAAAAGAGTCACTTTGATGCTGACAAGACGGGAAAGTAAACAATGTTTTGTTGAGATTTGCAATAACTATTCCAGAATTAAAGATGAAGCGTATATGTAACAGTTGAATACCAAGCTTTGTTAATTTGATGGCCTGCAGGTAAAGATCTGTTTGCAGTGTTTTAGTGTTGGTTGTGTTCTAAACTTCTATACAATCAAAAATATCTACCAGATATTTCCATTTCCATTTATTTCTGGGTGCTGCTTTTGATCACACCTCTTCCATGGTGGCCTGTGAAATATCTGCTTAAGAAGTTAAGACATTTTTGTGCCAAATTGTCTTGCTGGCTTAAAGACAACCAGCCATGATTAGGCTCCTACAAGAACAGGTACTCTTACATTATTGTATTTATGCAGATTTACCTATAAAATATTTTTCTTATCCCTTTATTTAACTTTACTTAGTTTGTAGGAGGATAACCCTTGGGGCTGTCAGAGATCAGAGCCCCTCCCCCAAGGTATTTCTATTGCTGACCAGCTGCCTAAACTGTGTCTTCAATTTTTTTTTCCCCCTCTTTACATCTTCACATTTTAGGGTCATTGCAATGCATGTATGTTGTGCTTACTACATTTGTTACCATATGTAATATGTGTTTAAAGTGAAAACCCCTTGAAAGTTGAAGACGTTTTACTGACTCACCGATCACCGGATAAGCTCTGTCAAATCAACCCTGAAAATTCTGACCTCTGCTGGGGATGCCATACTGCCGTTGGCACTATGACTCGTATATGGTGGGGATGTTCATTGATCAAACCGTTCTGGCAAGCGGTCTCACATGTCTATTCCAAAGTGGCAGCCATAAATATTACCCTAACCCCACAAATGGCTTTCTTGTCTATTCTCCCGGGTTCCATTTCCAAAATAAAGAAATCCCTACTTCGCTTTTTTATTAATGCTGTGAGAGCTTTGATCCCTAAATGCTGGAACTCGACGACTATCTCCTCAATTCAGGAATGGTCAGCAGAGATGTGTACGTTTATGAGGTCGGAGGGGCTGATGGCTCAATGCTCTGATCACTATGAAGCCTTTCTGGCACCTTGGAGGCCGTGGCTGTTGTTTCTTGACTCGAAGGATTATTGGGCGCTGACTTGAGCTTTCTTTGTAATGTATAACACTCTAGATTACACTTACGGATTTTACCGTTGGATGATCTGAACTGCATCTTGGATTTGGTTGACTCCCACCTTCCCCATCCCTTCTGTTTTCTTTCCTTTTTTCTTCTCTTTCTCTTCTTTTGTGCCAACCCTCTTTTCTCTCCCTCTATATGTTTTTCTCTTTCTATGTACCTATTCCTTCTCTTCTCCCTGTTTCTCTTCGGCTTGCTTGACCTCCATCTTCGTATCTCTATGTCTGTTTCCTTTTTTGAGTGTTGAGGTAGGGTCTCTGTGGCAGGACCTTTTACTGCAAGTTATGTTAAATTTGACTAACTTCCTAGCTCCCCATGTCATTCCTTGTATTGGGTGTATACCTTGAGTGTTTCTACAACTATACAGTGTTCTACAATATTGATAGTGTTCTGGTGTACAGCTGGACAGTCGTTTGATGGAAGTTATTGGAATTCTTGTCACTGACGGGCTAGGCCCGGAAATGTCAGATGGTTGTTGACTAGATTTAAAGAGCATCAGTCAGTTTCTAACTCACTTATTTTATACTGGTTTTTCTTCCTGCTGCACTATAGGATTCCAGCTAGATTGGCTCTCCCAGTCATACATCTCAGTACTTTATTGCCAATGCATACACTACGTGGGTATGTGGGTGTGTGGGTGCAGTAGCCAGCCTACTATTGGCTATTGCAATTTGAAATGGCCAATAGTCCCTCTGGCTATTGCACCAGCCCATTACCTGCTCTATTTACACCTAGCTGCCATCTGCGGAATCTTGCCTGCCATTCCCTGGCTGCAACTATTTAAGCGCAACATGCTTACAATTCAATTATTTAAAAAAAAAAAAGGATAAAAAGGTGGGAAAAAAAGTAATTTTCGTTTTCGACCTGACAAATTCTGCTGTGGGAACGGACGGTGCCACAATGCAGTGCTTTCCAGTGCTGTGCGATTGCAAAAAGATGTGCATGCATTTTTATTCTGAAGTAAACTTTATTACACTGCATTTGTGTATTTTATTTTAAATTTAAGGACGGCCTTTATTTAATTTTTTTTTTTTTATCCAATGAATCAATTAATCGAAAAAATGATTGGCCAACTAATCGATTAATAAAATAATCATTAGTTGCAACCATAATATACACACAGTGGAATTCTGCTTGAATTTTTTTGGATTTTAGATTCAAACAGTGCATAGTGGAGTTTTTAAATATTTTTATACCTCCTTTAATATATGTTGTATTAGATGTAGCACCTAAACTGCAGCTGTTTTGTTTCAGGCATTACCCAATTGGTTTACTTTTTGACCTACATGCGTCAAACACTTCTTTACCTTGGGGCATCACCGTCCACTTTAAGGTATGTTTGCAGCTTTCCTTATGTTACAGTAGTAAATAGAATGTAATATTTATATCCGTTATCTATTTTGTTTATTGTAAGTTGTTACTTCAATATCTTTTAGTAGATAAAATAGAACATTATTATTCATAAAGCTTTTTTCTTTTTTTTTAACTTTTTGTAAGCCTGGTTCTGCCATTGCTAATATTTTTAACAGGAACTTTTAAATTGTACGTTTGGATCAAGTAAAAACCTAATTTGCTGACTAACTATGTGTGGGAGCTTTCTGAAGCATGAAAGTGATAAGGTAAAAACAAACCTAAGATTATTTTAGTGTAGTCATCTCAGAATCTGCCATGTAGGGCATGACTTAACATGTTTTTTTGCTCTATATTAACTACGATAACATCCAAACCGTTGATAAAAACCACTGTACCAGCGATGCTAGCAGTAATTTAACCTTCCTTTCAGTATAGTGAGCTGTGGCTCTAGTTCTGAGTCATTTGTTCCATCATGCTGCACGCATTGAAACTTGTACTGTCTATTTTTTTTTTCTTCAGTGATGAAAGGGTAATATTGGTAATAAAAACAATTCCAATAAAATTAAAATAGTCAGAGGTGCCTACTGTTGGCTACACCCCAAGTATTTGTTTGTCTGTATTTGTCAGACACAGACTAAGTAAGTTCAGAAGTGTCAGCCAGTGAAAAGATGCTTCTGTAAAGATGTTTCTTTTGGATGTGGCCAAAAAGCCTAATAAGTAATTATTTATTAAATTTTATACATATTGTTTTATAATCCCCACCTGCCAATTATCACTGCTTAATCCCCACTTGCCAATTATCACTGCTTGTAGTAGTTTTGTGATTTGGGAACTACATATGTTCAACTATGTGAAAAATGAGGCAAAGTGTTACTTATCCCAACCACTGTAAGCAATTTACTGTCTCTTATAGAGAGCTCAATTAAATCTTTCAAAGCAGATCACCCCTCAGCACACATGAAGATCTTGATGCAGCAGGGTGTAATAATTCACATAAAACATAATGGCAGCAGCAACGTTTGAGATGGCATCTTGGCCCTTCCCGCATATCTAAATTTATGGCTATTACCTCTCCTAAATGTTTTTGGGATGTGACAAATATGGTACTTTCCATCATATATGGTAGACATGTCCCAGTGTCTGTAAGTATTGGTCTAGAACCTACAAAATGATAAACAGAACCCTGAAACGCTTCTTTCTAGAAGACCCATGCAAAAGAAAAAACAGGTGGAAATCACCAACTCTGAACTGTTAGCCCTATTTACCTACAAAATGATAAACAGAACCCTGAAACGCTTCTTTCTAGAAGACCCATGCAAAAGAAAAAACAGGTGGAAATCACCAATTATGAACTATTTACCGCAACAAAACCCTATTTACCGCAACAAAACAAACAGTTGCTAAAGCATGGAAACACCTACCCTAATCCTCAAGAAATTATAACTAGGGTGTCTTGGGCTCTGTTGAATAAAATAACTGCTAAATTGACAGGTACAATGGCCAGATTTGAAAATGTCTGGTCCCCTTAGGTAGGCAACTTTCTTACTTCAGATTTTGGCCACTGTCTCCTCAACCCATGATGGTTGCCTGATACAGTTTAACACGTTATGCCACATTTCCTTACCTTTCCTCTTCATACTAACCTGTTTTTTGTGTTCTACCCCTACTAATCACCTGTTCTGTTCTTTCTTACTTTATAACAGGTACACTCCCTTAGAACAAAGTCCTTGGCTGAGAATAAATGTTTATTTTTCTGTCTGTAATTTAATTTGACCCCAGAACTTCCCTCCAATCCAAAAAGATTTTTGGAGATATTCCTATGTACTTCATGGCAAGACTGCTCGAATGATGTTTCAGTTCCTATGCCTTGGTTATGTACTGTGTGCTTTTCTTCTTTTGTACTGTTTCTAGTTTTAAAAAACTTCTTTAAGGTTTTCTCCAATTGCTTCTTCTACCCTTTTGGGTTCCATCTGCTGCCACTGTGACCGGAGGGATGAGGTAGCTGGGAAGGGCAAATGGAGTTGTGACAGACAGGGATGGATGTGTGTCAGGGAGGGGAGAGGTGGACAGGTGTCCATCAGTGGAAGAATAGGGGGGGAGGACCAGTGCACAGGGATGCCTGTCATGGGGTAAGGCAGCAAGGGTGGAATGTCTGCCAACAGGAGATGTGGCACCACGAATAAAAATGTCTGTCAGTAGGGAAGGAAAAGTTGCAAGAGGGATGGCTTTGGGGGGAACCTCCAGATATAGAACCCAATCCACCTATCTCTGAGCTAACCCTAATCTCTCATTAATGATGTGGCAGATCCTAGCCTGCTGGCTGTACTCCACTTTCCTAAGTTGCTCAGCATAGCGTGTCCGGAAAACAGAAAAACACAGCTCCCCACACGTCCACCGGCACCTCCTACTCCTGCCTGCATTCTGCTTCACTCAGAAAACCCAGCTCCCTGCTGCTCAGCACTTACAGTCCCCCTGCGTGCTCTGGCTGGCTGGATCTTCAGCATGCAGCAGCAGTACATGTCCTGTGTATGGGCTTTCTGGAGACCTGGGAGAACAGAATCGGGAAGGAGACCGGCCAAGCTGTGTGTGGTTGTTTTGCAACAATGAAGAGGCAGTAAATGAGTGAAGGGAATGGCAAATGAAGTGTAGGTGGAAAGTGTGAGGGCACCAGGGGGTTAGACTGGAAGGAGGAAGAGAGCTTGGTACTGGAGAAAGAATCCCCCAGTAGCAAAATTAATCTCTGACTTGGGCATTGTCCTTAATGGCAAAGTTAAAATGTTCTCACAAAACAAAACTCAAACTTGAGTATTTTATTAATGATATAGGCTGTCCTCTCCTTCTTTTCAGTGGAAAAACAGTTAAAGGAAGTTCTGAATTTGCACTGTGTTAACAGACATGTTTTTAATTGCAGAGTTTTCCATCAAAAGACATTTTGCGATGCCAATCAAAAGATGTGATCGAAGCACACTTTATGTCTTCTGTGAAGGAAGCCGATGCTTTGAAACACAAAGGCCAAGTTATTAATGAAATGCAGAAGAAGGACCATAAACAGTTGTGGATGGGTTTACAGAATGGTAGGTGTCTTCCTCAGTGGTCTCAATAGCTCTTCTCCTCTTCTCTTGTTGCTGTCCCTACAATGTTGTCTCTATCTATAGATGGGTGGGGATGTAACCACTTATTGGTATAAAATGTACTGATAATGTATATAGAAGTAATTGGTCCTGTCCAAATTGTAAAGTATGATTCTGATCCATTCTCTTATATTGGAACTGTGCATGGCTTGTTGTGGGCAAGAAGCTTGTTGCAGTTCATAGCCCTGAAGAATATTGTGACATCAAGTGAAAGGCAATGTGACATTCATTAAAGCAGAAGTAAACACTCTAAAATGGCAAGTTAAAAATAGTGCATGCATGCACACTTTCAAGTGTGTGCTACATGTTGTTTTATCTGTATGCTGTCTGACAGTCTGTTACATTACTTCTCCTCAGCAGTCCTCAAAATAGGTGCGAAGCGCAGTAACAGAGCATAACCAGAAATTGTCTCTCAACTTACTTGACTGCAGTAAACTAAAAGGTGCTTTCATTAGGTACAACTAATTACCTCTGCCTTATGGAACTGAGTAGTCATTGTACTTCCTTCATATTCTAAATGCAGTTCTGAGAGATGATTTGACTGCTGCTGTTTTAAAGGGGATTCCCACTTTCACTAAAAAATAAAGAAAACTCATTCTGAGACTCAAGTGACCTTTTCAGCTACTTGGAGCACTCTAGACTGGTTTTCTTTGTTTGGTTTTGGAGGAACCTGAAAGAATGTTTTGCAGTTTGAAATCATTCGGCTTATTGACGCCCAGCTCCAGCCATAGATTTTATGGCTTTCTATGATTTCTCCTTCTTGGCCACCTGTTCTGGGGCAGAAAGTAGGTGAAGATCGCTTCAAAGTATAAACAGCAATGACCGCCACTTTTTTTTTTATGTAGCAGGAGCTTTTTGCCATTGTGTGCACAGCATATTTGCACATTTACCCAGAAAAGTGGCCTCCTTTGGGTCTGGTCTTCTTCCAGGTTCAGAGTCTTCAGCAGTCTTCATTGGCCAGCCGAGGATGATATAACTTTTGTACATGCGCACGGGTGTTGCTTCTTCCTGGCACAGAATCGTGCCGAGACTGTACACAGATTTGCTCGTGCATGGCTCAATACACACTTACTCAAAAAAAGCATTGACAAGCAGTTAGAAACATCTAAGACAGAAAAGACATACTGTAATATAAAAACCTGCCTGTCAGCACTTTTTATTAACCAACTCTAGTTCCACTTTAAATTGAGTTCTTCAGTAACTTTACAAGTCTGAGTAAATATTTTCCTGACATGATACAAATACAGCAACAGTAGAATTTTTCAAAGAATCTCTACTTTTTATCATTTAAAATCTGTCCTTGAACTCAGTGACTTTGCGTAGGCTGAGGTGATACCATAAGTCTTCTGCAAGCCTGAAGAAGAATTCCTAGCCCCCAGCGATTTATACTGCGACATTGTCATTTTGTAGCAAGGCACATAGTAAGGCTCTGTTCACACCTAGGCGTATCGAAATATGTGCGTTTGTTGCACGGTGACGCGCGTTTTTACCGCGATTCGCAACAAAAAGGCCGCAAAGAAGCTCATGTACATTTTTAGGCGTAGGCCGTTTTGTAGTGCGTTCAGACGGGCTGAAATACGGCAAGGTGTGAACCATACCCATAGAAAACAATGGGATTTTCATGTTTGAGCGTTTTGTAGAGCGTTCGTAGAGCGTTGAACCCGCTACAAAACGTACAGGTGTGAACCAGGCTTAAATGACTACAGCAGATGTGTATCAGACATTTGTGACCACAGCCAAGAACTGTATAAGTAGCAGGATTTACATGATTTTGTCATCTCTGAGCCAGCTTTGCAGTCCAGTAAGTACATAATGACCCTTGATATTGCTAGAACAAATATGGCTCTGTCTCGATAAGAAAAACATAAATGAAGACATTGTCCCTGTGATCTCTAGCAGTTAATACATTTCTGGAAGTGTTGCACTTACACATCACTTAGCATGTATCAGTTACAATGACAAAATATATCTGATATTAAAGGAGAACTATGGGGTTAAGGCTTTTCCCCATAGTTCTCCTTAGGGTAACGGGAGGACACAAACTAGTGTCCTCCCGTCACCCTAGGCTCAGTATACCGCGAGCTGTAGCTCGCGATATACTGAGACGCTGAAGCGGATCTCGACAATTGTGCCGGGATCCGCCCAGCTGCGTGACTGACAGTTGGCTCTGCCTATCTAGAGGCAGAGCCAGCTGTACCCGCCCCCTCCCCGTCCGTTCCGCCAGTCAGCGCTAGCGGATCGGAGCGGGGAGGGGGGAATCCAGCCCCTCCCCTGTCACGGAAGAGAGCCGTGACAGGATCCAGGAGG